GTCAGCCTGTGAACAGCTTGTGATCACAAATTCCAGGTTACTCCCAGGGAAATTAGGAATGCTGGCACTTAGTGAGGTTGGTACCAGGAGTTCGTGGTGTTGCTGCTCAGGAGAAGGGGGGAGAGAACAAAGGGAGCATTCAGTACCTGTGCTTGCAGTGTGGTGTTCATCTTTCAGCTCTCATTCACATACAATTCTGTCAGGTAAGGAAGCAGCTCTGAATCTCCTCCCCAAAGGCATGTGAAACCCAAGATGGAATCCCTTACTTGCTGTACATGGAAAACAGGACATGGAGAGGCCCATGCTGAGGTGGGACAACCTGGACTCACTTGGTCTGTGATATTATTTATGCAAGACTGCAGTGAAATAAATAATTTTAAGTGGTGGATGAGCTGCTTTCTGTATTCAGTTTCCTTCCCTATTCAAATGCCTTCTTGCTTGTGTAAGAAGTTCTGGAAGAAAAATCAAAGTTTTGGCTGTCCATGATTTGATTACACTACCCTCCCAACAAGGTTTCACTTGGTTTCCACTTCACATTAATCTTCTGAGATATCCTGAGCATCATTTTTTATTTAAAGCCTTGTTGGAGTATATGCTGCCTCTTTGTGAAGAGGCAACACTACAGCATCTCTTGCTTACTGACTGACTAACTTTGCTTCCTTACAGTGTTTCCTAGAACGTCATATGAGAGCTTGAGGTACTCAAAAACCTAGTGTTGCAATGAAAAATAACTTATTAAAGTTTATAATTACTGAAAAATTAATCAGAGACTTAGCATGGTACTTGCATAAAGACAATAAGCCAAGCTCTTGTCACAATGAAATATGGAATAACTCCATTGAAATAAATCTTAATTATGCTGGAGTCACTACTCAGTGTGACTTAATTAAGAGTAGAGCAGGGAAAGCCTTTGGGGAAAAAAGAACACTGATTACACAACTACCTAACTGCATATTTCGTTCTTCCCCCCGATTCTTTTCTTCCCTGTGGAGAAAATTTCAGAACTAGACTTGTTCAAGGAACTTGATTAGATATTAACTTTCTGAAGAGAAATTGTTTAAAGTAAAAGGTTGAGAACAATAACCCTGAAGATAATCTCTTTAAATTGTACATGCAAGGTGCCATGAATCCATACCTATCTTGGCCATAAAAATTATGATGCTTAGTTAGGCAATAAATTTACGAAATGTAGAATCACAGAATGGTTTGGGTGTGAAGGGACCTTAAAGATCATCTCATTTCAACCCCCCTGCCACAGGCAGGGACACCTTCCACTAGAGCAGCTTGCTCATAACCCCATCCAACCCGGCCTTGAACACTTCCAGGGATGGGGGAGTCACAGTTTTCCTGAGAAACCTGTGCCAGGGCCTCACCAACCTCACAGCAAAGAATTTCTGCCAGATATCTAATCCAAATCTATATCAAGTACTGTGCTATAGAAGCGAAGGCTTAACTCTAACAAAAAATACAATGAATAGATCAAGGTTAAAGTAGCCAACAGAGGAAAGTGTCAAGAAATGTACCTTCACTGCAGCCTCCTGAATGCAGCATGCAACAGTGGCTATAGAGTATAGACAGATATATTGTTCAACAAGCATATCAACAATGTAAGAGGATCATTTGTCATGATTTCACTTCTTACCAGATAGAAAGCATGCAAAGTCAGATATATCATGGCAATAAATCTGCTGACTTCAACACAGTTATCTCAACAATGAATTCAAACCAATATACTTCGAGGAAATGAAACCAAACCTAGCAGGAGATACACAAAGGGTTCTTGACAGATTATCTAGACCATATATAAAATCAAACATTAAAGAAATATGTGCAATATTGCAGGGGAGTTACGATAACTGGGAAAAAATATGCAGCATGTATCAGAGGGTCAAATTCCTTTGCTTGAGCTATGCTCTTTCTTCACAGGTGTGGCTCCAGTTGAGCTGGAAAGGTGCTATAGGACAAGGTACAATTTTTTTTAAAAGGACTGAAAGGAAAATAAGCAAAAAAAGGGAAAAGGAATTAAATAATGTGGACTATCCATTCCAAAATTATTCCAGTGTGAACTGGGTTATAGAAGAAAATAATCTATTTTTAGGTTGAAGTGAAAGCTTTTGCTGTTCCACAGAGACCAATGTATCTGCAGAAGTAACAGATGCACTGGCCTTTTTTTGATAGTTATGGAAAATGGTTGGCAAAAAGTAACAAAATGACAACCATGGAAGATCTGGTTTGTTTTCTTCTCCACTCCTGCACTGGCATGGAAATAAAAAGCTTCTAGTCCCAGTTCTGGTATCTGTTACACAAGTGCTCCTGCACACACATTATATGGAGAGGAACTGGTTTGACACTTCATCAAACTCTAGTTCATTTATGTGAGCCCACCTTCAATACTGACATCTGATTTCTTGGCTCACCATTCTCTCCTAGGGGAATTCCAGGGGCAATTTTTAAACATTCTGTTCTGCATAAAAGCCTCATAAGCAAAACATAAAATTTAATCTGATTTACTCCTGGGATGTATGCCTAAAATAGAAGCTTGGGAGGCAAGTTTCTACGGGTTTTATCTTTGCTCTTTCACTTGATATTTGGTCATTATAAGCAGGGTTAATCTCACCAGCTGTGGATGAGTCTACATTTCCGATGTCTGTGTTTGAACTAATTGTGCTGAGCTTCCTTGATCGCCAGTGGACAGAAATCTGCATTTTAAAAAGTGTGATTTGTTTACTCCCAATGCACAACGGTAAAATGGATCAGAAGTGTCTGTCCCTCTCTTATGGCCATAAAGGAAGTTCAAATATAAATATTTACACTATCAACATCTGAAGTTAGATGAGATGAATCCTGGCTTTGATGGCTTTGGAAAGTGCTGTTTTCCTCAGTACAATGCATGACGGACATCCCTGGGATACACCTGGGCAGTACAAAAGAAGACCAGGAATCTCCCAAGTGACAGCTCCAGAAGTGATAACCAAGGGTCACAGTGCTACAACATTCCAGGTTTTGTGAGGACAGTGGAGGAAATGGGAAGCTTGACATTCATAATGGACTGTTCTAAAAAGGATGGATATTGCATAATGTCTTCAAGATGCAAATCAGGGCCAGTAAATACTTCCCAACTAGAGACACATCTGAGCCATAACCTAACATTAAAACATCCCCTGCTTCTAAATCTTACTAAACTACTTAGATCTCAGGTTTGCAGCTGGCCTTTGAATATTTTGGGTCAAACCAGTAACCTTGATCTATCTACCCCTGAAGTTTAGGTCTGTATTCAAACTTTGGAAGCTCTGTCTGTCTAGAAAGTTTACCTTTCTTTAATACCTGTTGCAATCAAAAGTTTCCTCAAACAATCAAGAGCTTTGACCACTCCTAAAACACAGAGGTCATTTTTGGCAAATGGTAATGGCAAAGTACAGAAAGGATAGAGAGGAGGTGAAATTGCATTCCTTGGAAAGAGAAGCAGCTCATGAACATTAGAACTGGCATTCAAATGGCTTTTCTTTGTGCTGCAGGTGATTTTTTTCTGGCTCTCCCTAATCACAAAACAGTAGGAAGAGGTGAGACATATCACATAGCAAAGAATTAATGTCTTGCAGAGAACTTTTTAGTAAAACATATGTACACACCCTCATCAGCGAACTCTGCAGGCTTGAGACTGAGTTGTCAGCCACATATAGACATGTATACACATTTTGGAAGGCAAACAGCTTCCAGATAATCTTTTAAAGGTACCCACAAGTAATACAAAGTAGACATAAACACTCCATATAGCGATATTTTTACATAGTGTCCTCATGGATACTATAGATTCAGGAAGACATTGCCCATGGAGGTGATGCTATACCATATTCCAGAGAGTAGAAAGCAAGCCCTTTTAAAATACTAAAAGGAGAGATCGACATGGCAAGGTCCAGTGCAGCACTGGGCCGAGAGCAAACTGAAATGGCTAGATCTGTTTTGATCCCTTCTCTTGGGCTACTAAGCTGAATAGTTTACAAAGCAGAGAAAGTCATTCATAGTCCTTTACAGTACAATTTCTAGTGTCACAGAGTAACTGTGGATTTACTGCACTCTCCTGTAAAATTTCAACTGCCATAACAAAGCTTTATGTTGCAGATGATGAACACTCAAATATTTAGGAATAATAATAAAAAAGACATTTCACCCTCCCCTTCCCACAGGGGACCAATCTGTCTTTTTAGAACTAGCTGTTGATCCAGCCCCGTGCAAACCTTTACAAGGTTGTTTTGTGTGTGTGTGTGTGTGTGTGTGTGTGGCAATTATTTGACTGACATTTTGCTTAAAGGAGGGGAAAATCCCACTTCCTGCAGCATATTGCAGGGACCAGCAAACATATCCCTTCATCCATTGGACCAATTATACAGTGATAATACTGTGCAGGTGCTCCAGAGCTGACTCAGCTGTTACCCGATCATGCCTGTGATATGCAATCCATCATTACATTTAAAGCTCCTGCTTGATTAATACCCAGTATTTCATGTCAACACTGATAAATTAGAATTCAAAAGTGTTACACTGCAGGAACTGCAAATGGTTCTGCAGTGGTGATGGCCTGTGTTAATTTTGTGAGATCTGTTAGTTCAAGGGGAAATTCACAATTCAGAAATACCAAAATGTGTGTATGGTATTAACTACCAACTGTGACCTTGGGATAACAATGATATGTTACATTTAAAGGAAGTAAACATTAAATTTCCGAATGGCTATGGTTATTTCTTCTCCTATATAAACAGTACCTCTATCCCTTAGCTTTGCCAACCTTATTTGCAGTAATGCTCTAATTGTGGTGTTACAGATATATATGGTATACTGGAATTGGGAAGTACTTTGGCTTAGAGTGTTTTAAACATTTACTTCCCAAGTGCATAGGTTTCATCTTAACCAACTTGCTCAAGAAAATTAGAAAATGAGTGCCATGGCATTTTTCATCTCTCTTGGTCTTGTAAACTTTTCTCATTTGAAATGTTGTTTCTTTTTCTCTTCCATGGACAATTTAATCAAAATAATCTGCCTTTTTCCCTACTGTGTACTTAATGGTAACTAATTTTTTTTTTCACCTTTGCTTCAGGTCTACATGAGACAAATTAAGCAATTCCCATTAGAGCTACAGTTTGAGATTCAGGAACACTTAATGACCAACAGCCTCTTCCCTGGTGGAAAATGAGGATTCAAAGGAAACATTTGAGATTATTTTACTTCCATTATTTTTGTTAAAAAAATTTGCACCTTGAGGTGTCATGAATACCCCTTCTTGATCTTCCTTTGCCTTGCCTGGCCAGCACAAGCAGCTGAGATCTTTGCTCTATTTTCCCTGCATCTCTGTGCAACACTTTTTTAAAAAGAGAATATACTATTATTTTTTCTAAACCTTTCAGACTGCTGTAACGTGATCAGGATTCTCCTGAATCTCTATGCATTCGATCTCTTCTCGTTCCTTCCTTTTGGCCCGTTTCTTTTTCTTGTGGTGCTTTTTTGAAGGTGGAAAAAAGGTTAGAAAGACAGGCAAAATAACGAAACAGTGCAGAAGTGTGCAACTGCCAGCAAGCAGCAAGCATTTGAACAGTGTGAAGGTCAAGTTTGAAGGCACAAAGAGAAGGGGGACCAACCCAATAAGAAAAGAAGAAACGTTCTGCAGAATGGCTGTCCCGTGCTCTTGGAGGGAGTTCTTTATACACTGAGTTCGGGTGTGCTCAGTAGCGAGTACAAATGTATAAAGCAGGGGTGCACAGTGATCTATGGCAAAATTCAAAGTGTAAATAAGGCACAATATAGAAATGCAATCCATGTCTACATTCCATAAAGTCATCAAGCCAAGGACACCCAGCTCTATTGAGGTGACACTGAGAATTAACCAGAAATTTCCCAGAGGATGGATAACTAGGAAAAAGGTCAGTATTAACACCAGCAGGATGCCAAAACCAGAAATCAGGACAGGCATAGTTACTGATAAACCATAGTGGTCCATGAAAACAAAAGTAGGATTGAACACAATGAACTTAATGCTCTGTATAAGAGAGAGGGGCCTCAGCTTCTCCAGCAATTCCACTGCTTCCCTCTGTGTATTTTCACTAGTCCTGGCCACAAGGTACAAACGAGAAGCAATTATGTTGTTCTCATCTCCAGCTTTGGAGAAAATGATGTCATTTTTGAAGTGCTGGAATTCTGGCTTTTTTAAAAAGGAGCTCTGAAGGATGCTGATAAAGTCACTTTTGTTGGTTGCACTGATGTTACCCACCCGAAGGAACTGGTAATACTGTTCAATCCAGGACACTGTATTGAACCCCTGGCTTAGTGTTTTTAGGTCTTCTTGCACAGTACCATTCCAGTACTCCAGAGGTTCATAAATGTAGAAGCCTATCACTGGGCTGTAGTTGCTGAAATACTTTTGCTGTATGAGGGCATAGGAGACGCTTGGAGACTCACTGGCAAGAAGGTTGATGATGTTGGCTCCGTCACTGATCTGTAAGCACCCCATAAAGGAGAAAGAGGCATAGATGAGATACAGTATCACCACAAATGGCTTGACGTAGATGTTGGTAATCCACTCATTGTAGTGCTCTCGGAGGAAATGCTGGATAAAGTGGTGCTGGTATGGGTTGGTCTCGTGGTGGGAAGAGTGCTGATGGCCATCATTCATCATGGTCTGGAACCACACAGGTTTCCGGTCCAGGTACTCTGCTGAGGGGATTTTACAGCAGAAGATGCTGTGGTAACGGTTCTGCTCCAGCTGGCCAGCAAAGACCAGGCAGGAGCCAAAGAAGGAGAAGATATAGAAGTAGTTCAACAGGATGGAGACACACATGTTCTGGCAAAAGACTTTTACAGCTTCGATGTTGGTGAAAGGGCTTGCACCCATGCCAAAGGCTATGAAATACAAGGAGCTTGTCATTGTGTAGGAGACCATGACATCTGAGTAGGCATCTGCTACCCGGTCCTTGAATGGCAGATTCTCTCTGGTTCGTCGCCATCCTGAAAGAAGTTCAAACACTCCTTTGGTTCCATGACCTGAAATGAGAGAACAAAGTGTATACATGTGCATATATATAAAAGGTGAGGGGGGTGTCCAGTCATCCTGCAGGTTTTTCGTCCTCCAGTAGTAAAAAAATCTGTCAGCTAAGTTTTGTCCTTTTTTTTTTTTTTGTCACCAGTTAAACAAATGGAATATTGTGAATTGTCTGTCTAAAGCTGGATGCCAGAATTCATACGTAGGTGCTTAAATTAATGGGCCTCATATTCTGAGACTCTCTATGCTCAGAAAAGAGAGTATGAAATGCCCTTTAAAAGACATTCCTTGACTTTAATGGACATTGAATTAGTTACCAAAGGGACTGCAAATATAGAAGAATATGAAGTTTGGTTCAAGCCTTGAGTTCATTCTTAAAATTCCTTGTGGCATCCCTCTACATCTTTCAAGGCTCAAGGGATTCAATCTGAAACACTTAAAAATACAAGTAACAACATTTTCTTCCAAAGAGTATAAATTAAAGGCATTGGTTTGAGAAATGAGTGGGTGTGATCGAGAAGGGAACATCTTGGTTCTTCATGCTGGATGAAGGAGAAATTATACTGTAAGTACAAATAACCAGAATAATTTGTATCGTGATTCTCTGTCTACTGAGTGAAATTGGAACTTCTCAGTGGTAGTACACAAGTTTTCACACTATATGAAAGTTGACATACTAGTGGTAATGATGGAGAGTATAATAATGGCTAAGTCATTGTCTAGAAAACATATGGGTTTATTTTCTATGATTATAACTCCCTCTGTTTCTTTCTCTCTCAGCTATCCAGAGCTCCTCCTGGTGACAAGAAATTCCCTTAGCTCATGTGAGAGGACAGTCAGAAAAGTCAGACCATGACACATTCTTACTTCATATTCCACCCTAAGAAGTATTTTAGGGGTATGATTTTTTAATAAATTAATGCTCAATACAGACTTACTTTCATTTTACTTATCACAGTCACAGTCTATGAAGTCTAAAGCTATTAAACTTTGTGACAGAATGGTAACAAAGATCAGAAGCTGATCTTATTAGTTTAACTAGTTTAGTTGAGGTTTAACTAGTAAAGGAATTAATTATGTATACACATTCATAAAATGTATATGTTGAAAAAATATATATACATACACACACATTTATAGTTGCCCCTTCCCCCCCCACCACCCCCCCGTCCCCATTAGAGAATTTCAATTTGGGGGAAAATATAAAAACTAACATTCAAAAAAAGCCAAAATGCTTTGGCTTTCAAATAAAAAGTTTGGTCAACAAATAAAAACAAAATTTGGGTTCAGAGGATAAAGTTCTCTGCACTTTGGATCAAGCTCTGACAAAATTCTGGTCAGTGTAAGGAAACACACTACTGACCAGGAAAAGAAGTAGAAGCAAATTGCCTGTGTTTCTGGGCCTTCCTTTCTGTAGCAGAAGAATTACACGAACCAAAGCATGCACAAAGGCAATTTTCTTGTGTCAAAAGGAGAAATATGACAACAGGAGATTTGCAAATAATCAGGTATGTACAGCTAAAGGACTGTTGAGTTTGTCTTTAGATTTAAATTGTTTGGAATTTATATAGCTGCTTATGTTGCCCAAAGCAGACTCCTGACAGCCATTCTAGACAGGGAAAATTACAGCATAAACTGTCAGGTTCTGTGAATGTTACCTGTTTTACTGTAAATCGGTGTCCCCAGTGAAAGATAAAAATACAGTACTACAGAAGTCTTGCAGTTAGCAAAAGGCCTGCGTGGAAACACTGCTCTCTTATGAATCAGTATCTCAGTTCAGGAGGGACCTTGAATTCCCTGGCAAGTTTAGGGTGAGTTGTTCAAATTCTCAAGGCACAGCTGTCATTGTACACTGTCGTTTTCAGACCGCCAAGCAGAAAGAATTGGCTCCTTCAGCTGAGTAAAGCTGCAGAATCCAGACACTTGGGTACAGTCTTATACTTTCCTTAAAGCAGGTGCCTAAGTACCCTGTAGTGTGTGGACCAGAGGGGCTGGTCACCACTTCCAGTGCCCATGTCCTGGCACAGCTAAATTTAATGGTATAGGAAACACTGAATCATTTAAGTTGGAAGTGACCTTTGAGGTCATGGAATCCAGCTGCTGACCCAGCACTGCCAAGTTCACCACTAAACTCTGTCCCTCAGTGCCATATCTTCACATCTCTTAATACCTCCAGGTATTAAGATGGTAATTCTCCCACTTCCCTGGGCAGCCTCTTTCAGTGCTTGAAAAATAAATGTTTCCTATTATCCAGTCTAAACCTCCCCTGGCATAGCTTGAGGCCACTTCCTCTTGTCCTGTTGTTTGTTACCTGGGAGAAGAGACCAACACCCACCTGGCTACAGCCTCCTGTCAGGGAGCTGTAGAGAAGCTCCCTCAGTGACTCCTCATCAGACTTGTGCTCTAGACCCTTCACCAGCTACGTTGCCCTTCTCTGGACGTGCTCCAGCACCAGGCTGGGTGAAGCAGTGCTCTAACAGCTCTATCAACAATTAACAATAATATTGTCTTTTCTCTGCTTATTCAAAAATCTCACTTATCTGCCCTCCTGCAAGTTTATGTTCACAGCTGCATCTTTGTCATGCTTTTATTGTTCTTAACTTATAAATTTTAGCGTCTGACACTCTCAGTGAAGAATTCCTGGGTGCATTTAATCTTAGGGCAGGTATGAAATGACTAATAGAAAGGAGCTTTATATTGTCAAACATATGTGTAAAGGAATACTCAAGAGTATGCACTGATGAGTAAGCACAAACTTGTGAAAATATTGAAAATTAAAATACTGTAATTAAACTCTAGACTTTTTTACAAACAGAACAAGTAGTAACTTAAGAAAAAAAATTGATATTTGTAACTTCTATGCGGATGAAAATTGGCACCAATTTTCTTAGGATTGTGAATACACAACTGCGAAATGTCAACTTATCCCCCTTTTAAAAATAACTTCAGTTCTATCACACAAATACAGATACTGGAGAATAGAGTGCAGTAATTTCCTTGCTACCACAAGAAGAAATCTTTACCTGACTGGTTTTCCCCCATCATTACCAGTCAGCCTCTGTTGCTCTCCCCACACAAACAAGTCTATCCCCCTTCTCCAACAAGGATACAAATCCATTTTTTTCTGAACATTATCTGACAATTCTGATGATTCAGACACCACACTCACTCTGTAAAATTCTGCTCCTTCAGCTTCGTTGTTATGTCACTGACAACACTGGCAGTGGGGTGAAGTTCACTGAGCAGTTCTAGGAAGGTTCAGAGGGTCTTTGGCTCTGGGTCAAAACTGCCAAGTTTCACTGGTACTAACATGACATAAATGAAGTACAGCAATTTTTTACTTGCCAGACAGGCAATGGCCTATGACTACTTAAGAGAAAAGGAGAGGAGAAATTTTTATTCCATTACTTGTGAGTTTAAGAGAGCAAGTAAGGGAGGCAGCAGAGAAGATGGAAATAAATAATGTTTTTTTCTGCCTCAAATTCAAAACCAAAAGATTAATTGTGAGCAGATTTTTAAAATAAGTTCGAAGAGAATAGGGATAGAAAAAAGAAGAGTGAAATAACAGATTAAAGACCACTTGATTAAGTTAAACTTATTCAAGCTGGAAGAGCCTGGAGAAATGAATCAATTAAATAGTTAAGCCAAATCAATCTCAGAACTGTTACATTCATCTTAGAGAATGAATGTAGATGGGATGGTCCAAGAAGAATGGAGAGAAGCAGCAAAGTATGTATCTTCAAAAAGGAAAACTGGAATGCTGTTTTGAAAATGGGCATGTATTTTCACTGGATAACAGAAAGATTTGGATTGGAAGGGACCTTTGAAGATCACCTAGTTCCAGACCCCTGATGTGAGTGGGGACATTTAAAAAAAAAAAAAAAAGCTGAAAAATTAAGGTGAACACCCTGGAGAATAAAACCAGCAAACAGTGATCTGTTATTTAAAAATTAAAAGGAAAAACTGAATTAGTTGGAATTTTTCCTCCTATAGACTGGAACTTCAGTAGTAACTCAACAACATTCAACATTAAAGAAGTTATTAGGAAGAGGACAGAAATCAATTCTTTCTCATTTCTACTTGGAGAAGGACATGTTTTCATTTGCACAGAGCCCCTCCATTCAGATTAGGCACCAGAAAAAACAAACATTACTTTCTTTAAGGTTCATTAAATACTGGAACACACTATACAAGAGGATCATAAAGTATTCTTCATTACAAGTCTAAGGGTTAGATTGATAAATGTTAATGTGAGTGCTAGGTACATCCTGTTTTAATGCTGCAAGGCAGATCCTGTTCAGATTCCTGACGTCTCTTTTGTATCATCATACCGAAATTTGACTTAGGATGCTTAGGACTGTTTAATCATGGAAATCAGTGTTTCCTTAATCAAAGCATGCCTGTTCAGTGTTTAGCTATTACTTCTACCACAACCAGTCAGTTTCTTGGCATAGGAATTTGATCTGCATTTATCACTCGACATAACATCCACTGAGACTGCAGTCTGAAGCCACGAGGCACTGCTGGAAGGAGAGGCTGAATACTGCCAGCCTTTGTAAACTTTCTAGGAAGGAAGATCAGAATGACTCTGCACTTTTTTGGATCAACACATAAAGAAGATTATTTGCTGCTATAGGGGATAGCAGTCAATGAGATGATAACCCTGTTGTCTAGGTTATATTTCAAACAAGTCTTAGAAGTAAGTGCCATAGCACAGCCCTACTCATCATTTATACACTAAGAAATCCAAATATTGTAGTCAGTTTTCATTAATGGCCACACATGTAAGCTTTCCATGTATACAAAGGATGCAGAGACAGCTTACTTTTAAATGATAGTGGTGGGTAGTAAGTATAATTTTACATTATAATTCTTTTTTCACATTATAATTCTGGCTACTGGAAAGAAACTTTATTCTATTTGCGGAAATGACTTCCCCCCGACACGTGAATAAGCAAACAGGGCACATGAAGATTTTTTTTTTATTCTTTAGTAGCAGAAA